CCCCGCTGCCCCCAAGTCAGGCTATTTGCTGGTTAATTGGAGATACAAATCTCATAGACTTTTCTACCTGTGCTGGCTTCCAATCACGACTCTCAGAGCTCAGCCTCCTGAGTAGCTAGGATTACAGATTAGAGCCACTGGTACCCAGTTCTTCTTATTCTTCGTACAGCTTTCCTGGAAGTTCAAAACTTATTTCAAAATAAATATTTAAAAGTTAAACTTTAATTCTAAAATATGCTGTCCAAGTGTTTCTTGTCTCTCATCTCAACTTCTGTGAATTTCAGTTATTTATGTAACTCATGGTATAGCAACATTAACCAACTTAATTTTTTCCCCCAAACATATGTTATAGATTTCCATCCTGGGATTTATGGAGACGCAGATCTCTGCCAAGACAGCCTTTTTTTTTCTTCTTCTCTTGACCCTTTCAAAATTCTATCCAACCTGGTCAACCTTAATTTAAAATCACTAATTTGAGTTTTCTTTCAATCAATTGCACATTCATCCTGTGAATTGGTTCAATTTCCTGTAATCCAAAAGATCCGAAGAATCATCTAGAAATGTCGGTAAATTGATTTCCTAAATTTGGGTTAAGTCACCCTGGACAGAGCAGTTTCCGATTCCTGCCTAGGCAACTGAGTGCTTAGGTGATGAGTGTAGGCTTCCACCTGGTGGCCAGTGGAAGTATATCAGTCTGGGAGTTCATCTGTGAGATCAGGAAGTTTTAAGGGCAAAGTCAGGAGGTTGAACACAGCCCCATCTAATTCTTTGGACCATCACAACACCCATTTTGTAGATTATCTTCAAGATAGTGTCTTAAGGATTTTCTTAATGATCACAAGCATTAGTGGAAACAAAGTATTCTGCGAAGTACCTTAAAGGAGCATATAGGATCCTTCCACCGTTTTGCCATGAAGGAATGTGAAATCCACACAAGTACAAGGAAGCCTGAAGGGCAAGCTCTTCCACTCCTGCCCCCTTGGCCCCCGTAGGTCAGAAGGAACCAGTTCAAACATTAGAGCATATAACTGTAGAGTGCTTTCAGGAGATTAACACCACACCCATCCTCCTTAGCCCTTCTAAAGCAGGTGGCAGTGCTAGCTGTGGGCGGATAGCTGCAGGGACTGGGGCCTGAGAATGAACAGGCTTCTGGGGGTGGGGGGGTGTGAGGGGCAGCTGGGAGAAGTTTGCCTCCTGTGGTTTAGGTGGGCGGTTCCATCCAGTTTCACTTTCTCTGCTTTGCAAACTTCTTCCTTTCACATTCTCTTTGAGGCTGCTGCCTCTCTTCTTTCCTCAGCACCTCTCCCTAGGATCCCTCCTTCTCTCCCCCAAGCATGACAGACAAAAGACTCCTGCAGGTAATCATGATACACCCTCAAGGAAACACTGGATACCTTTGCCTTTCCATTCCTCCCTGGGGTCTGACTACTGCTGTGAGGATTCACAGTGGTATCAGTGTGTGTGTGTATGTGTGTGTGTGTGTGTGTGTGTGTGTGTGTGGAGAGAGAGAGAGAGAGAGAGAGAATTCACAGTGTATTAGTGTGGGGGGAGAGAGAGGAGGGGAGAGAGAGAGAGAGACCCCTGCTAGAAGCCTACTCTTCTCTTTCAAGGACAAAGGCTGAGTTGACAGCGATTCCACATTTCTGGTTTCTCAAGTCTAGATTCTAGATAGGTATCTTGCTAGGAGAGAGACTTTGACACTGATCCTGCTAAATCCCCAGATCCCTCCTTCTCCTGTGTACTCTGCCCCATCCTAAGGCTCTAGGCTCTCTCCTCCTTGTGGGCTTCTAAAACACAGACCACCCAGCATCTAATCCCACTTCTGGCCTTCAGGAGGCCTATGCCTTTGAGCTGAATTAGTTGGATCAGAAAGAAGGAAGATGGAGCATAGGCTCACCAGGCTAATAATCCTGTATTCCACACATCTGACTACAGCCATGGTGGAGGCAATTTTCCCCAATGTAATTTCCTCAGAATGTGCCTCAAAAATCATTTTATTAATACAAGGAATATCTCTCCTTCTAGAAGTATCTTAAGTGTTAAAAAAAGCATGCTATTTAAAGTGACAGGTATGTTTTTGTTGTTATTTCTCTTTATGCACATGTGTGTGTGCTCACACACACACACACACACACTCATGAGAAAAGGCCAGCTGATTAAGGGCCTCCATGTCTAAAACATAGAAAATGGAGAAGGACATGAAGATCTAGGCAGAACGTTTTCGGTCTAGCGAAAATTCCAGAAAATGTTGATGACTTGACTTCCTGCTTTCTCCCTTTGCACTTCATCTACTCTCTCCCTTTCAAGCCTTTGGTGAAAGGAGGACAAATTCACTAAGAATCTCACCTGGGCAGTTTGGAGGAACAGATGCCTACCCCCCACACCCCCAAAAAACAAAAGCAAAGGCATTTTCCAACTCCAGATCTGAGTGGTAAATGGAAGCAGATGATCTGCATCTGGGCCTGGACTGAAGAGCCCAGCTGTCTGACAGAGTAGGGACCATCAACGGCGGCTTCTCTGCCCTGGGACAGCCTCTCTGGACAGCTGTCCTGGCTCTGCCCCAGCACTGGGCAAGCTGCCAACTGAGCCTTCAGCTCTGTGGCTTCCAAACTTGTGCCCAGCCCCATCCATCTGTCAGATGGGCACATACGTGTTTAGACACAGTCCCAACTTCCCAGACTTTCCAGGTGACATGCCCACAGGTTAATATCATCTGAAAACAATGTCTATTTGACTTTGCAACTGATGAGAGTTTTAAAAATGCATTTTCTAGGATTTCTATTAAAATTTCTTACCAAATATCTGTTACTTAACATTTTCATTCTCCACAGCAAACCATATAGCTTTGGAGGCTTGTTGTAGACTTCTAAGTCCAAAAAAATTTGGGTAGTATTTCTCTCTTTGGCAGTGGAGAATACCAACATATAAATAAAACTAAGAAAGTATTGTGGGACTCAAGTTGAATTCCTAGGGTTCTTGCTCTAGTTCACTGTTTCCAGCAAATTCCATGAAAACAAGGGGCAGTCCCTGGGAATGACAATCTAGCTGTAGGATGAGGAACTGGTCTGGTGAAACACAAATAAAATAGTGAGTAAACTTGTTTTCACTTAGTGCACAGGCTTTTTCTTATATCTAGGAGAAAAATAGAAAATCTTATTTTACTTTATTTATTTATTTTGCTTGCCCTGGGACCTGGCACTGTCTCTGAGCTTTTTTGTTGTTGTTTTGGTTGATTGTGGGGCTTGAACTCTGGGCCTGGGCACTTTCCCTCAGCTCTTCAGCTCAAGACGAGCGCTCTACTGCTTGAGCCACAGCGCCACTTCCTGTCTCTGAGCTTTTGTGCTTTTTTGCTAGTGTTCTATCACTTAAGCCTCAGCCTCACTTCCAGTTTTTTGGTGATTGAATGGAGATAAGAGTCTCATAGACTTTCTTGCTTGAGCTGGCTTTGGCCATGATCCTTAGATCTCTGCCTTCTGAGGAGCTAGGATTATAAGTTTGACCTATGAGCCTCCAATGAATGAATCTCTTATTTTATAAAATAAGAAAACACAAAGGACTTGAGGCTAACATCTGTAATCCTCGCAGCACAGGATGTTGAGATGTGAGAATGGTAATTCAAAAGCAGCCTGCACAGGAAAAACAGAGAATTATCATTCTCATCCTATTATACTCAAGAATTAAGTTGAACAGAAATGTTATTTAGGCTTCTTTCCACCATATGATAGCTATGCTGTCACTACTCAGAGGAGTCAACCTATTGGTGATTGAAATGGAATTTAGAGACATGGTAAAAAGGATCCCAACTGTGGTTGTGGCTAGAAAACTAGAAAGAAGAGAACAGGTGAAAAGTCAATCATCAATAGCATATTGAAGGAATGCATTGTATAATAAGTATTATCATAAACATTTATAAGTAAATGTTATGAGAAAAGACAGAGAAAAAACTCAAGATAGTACTAAAGGAGATCAGGGAGAGATGGATAAGGCATGAACACACACACACATCTCTCTCTCTCTCTCTCTCTCTCTCACACACACACACACATACATACACACACATACACACACACACACACACACACACATACCCTATGTGTGGGTAAGGAGAGATGAGGAGAAACTTTTTAGAGCTTAACAAGGCTTTTGGGAACTGACAACTAATAAATGAAAAATGTCTCTAGGGTGTAACAGATTTTAATTTTTTTGAGAAAAGGAGTCATTTACTAAGGAAAGCAAAACTTTGACATTGTCTAAACAGAAAAACACAGTGCTAAGAAATTAACACAAAATGAAAAGTTCCTTACAATGTTATACCATATTAAAAAAAACTAGCTTCTGGGAAATTTATAAAAGCGTGAAAATATTATGAAAACCAATCAACTTTGGTACACAAAGGGTGTTAATCCCCTTCTCTAAGAGAAATATGAAATGATTTACAGTACAATGAGTTCTATTTATTCATTTATTTTGTGATCCTGGGAATTGAACCCAGTGCCTTCCACATGCAAGGCAGGGACTCTACCACTTGAGCCATGCTACACTAGCTTTTTATTTTGTCTTTGAAAGAAGCTCTGGATGACTGATCACTTCAACTGGCTCTTCTTCCTGTCTTAGCATCCTGAGAAGCTGGGCTCACAGGTGTGGGTCACTGTGACTGGCTCGAGAGCTTTTTAGATACTGCTCCTTCTTGGGTTCATGCATAGAAATGTCACGCAGACACATCCTTCCATGGTATGCCACTTTCTCTCAATAGCAAGAGATCAAGAGCTGCTTTCAAACATACCAGAGGTCACTGAACAGAAGGGCTTCCACTTGTGAGCTTGACAGTAAGCGATATTTTCTTCTTCATTCTCCAGAGCTAGAGCAAAGGATGTGGCTGGGTAGAAGGCGGGGACTGTGCAGATGCCTGTGCAGATGTGTGTGTGTGTGTGTGTGTGTGTGTGTGTGTGTGTGCGTGTGTGTGCTCATTTCCGCTTCCCCTTTCCAGCTGGCAGCAGCAGTTGAATGAGAACAGGGAGAAAGTCGCCTTCTGATTGACACCATGAGAACACCCCATTGTTCTAACCCCTGTCTCCTCGCACTGAAGGGCTTGGCTCAGCTTTGAGAACTCTGTTTTCTCCAACTCAGGTCTCTACCCGCAGTCAGGTAAGAGCAGTTTAAATCTGTTTTCTTTGGGGCCATGGTGATCTAGAATGATGTTAGGAGACAAGGAAACAGGCTAGAGAAAATGTCAGGCCTACCAAGAAGTAATACCTCTTTCCTCCCTCATGGTAGCTTTGCAGGCATCATCATTGTACCTTAGGAAGGGGATGGCCTGTCACTTTCCTTCTCCTCCCTACTACCAGAACGGTGACCATTCAAGGGTCACAATGCATGGATGGGTTCCTTTGGTGTGGGGAATCCATCATTAGGACTTTTATTTTTCTTTTGTCATTTTTCCTCACTCTACGAACTTCCTCCCTCAGTCTTGCCAAACTCATCTTTGGGGTTCACCTCTTTCCGCGTGAGAAACTTCGATGAGCCAATGTCCCAGTTTCCTCATGTGCCCTGTTCTAGTCACCATGCCTCTATTGGGAAGATCTAACCTGGCCCAACTTTGCTTTCTGTGGGTTGGGATCTCTTTTTTTAAAAGCTGAAGAAGAAAGTTGCGGTGCAAGTGAATTACAGTAAGATCTAGTGGGGCTCGTCATGCAGGAAGATTGGCACTGAGGGACGATGCCAGGCTACATGAACATCCATCTCAAGGCAGTTAATCTCCTGTCAGTAGTGATTTTTCCAGTTCTAGTTCTCAGAAATGGATCTCTTAATGAACTCCACAATTCCGGGGCTCGGGGACATCAGTTGCCCATACCCCCTTATCTCAGTGATAGCAGGCTACATATGTCACCACCTACATGACTCTTGAGTAGGGTGTAGGAGGGGAAAGATCCTCCATATTTGGGGTTTTCCCATACCCCAGCAGGCCATTGAGCTCACCAGCAGATAGAAGAGTTTCATCCTCTGAGCAAACACGAACAAGACAAAGTCCCATAGACATGGTGTGCGCAGACAGAAGGTTTAGAAGAAATACCCAGGGAAGAACAAATAACTTTGTCTACCATAAATGTCCCTGAGTAGAGAGTCAAAGGGACTTTCTAAACAGTGCATAAGATAGGAGATCAGAGATTGTAGGCTTGCGTATTTGAATGTCGAAACTTCAGGCTTTCCAGTTGGACCCAGTGAGCGGTTAGAGCCACAGGTCAGGATTGTCCTATGCCATGAAGCATTGCTGGGAATAGAGGAAACCAAGCTTGTGGTCTGTCTGTTAGAATAGGAATCCATGATGAGAAGCTGGCGAGGAGAAATAGGAAGAGGTCGAACGTGATTTCTTTCTCATAGGCAACTCAGAAACTACTTACAACCATAGGAATGGCATGTTCTCGTTCCTTGGAAGTGGAGGTGAAATCCTGAGAGTAAAAATTATGGAGTTTCCCTGTAGCCCCAACACAGTCATTTTTCAGTCCAAGATTGATGTTTCAAAATCAAATAGAAAATGGAGAGAATGTTCAGTTTCAGCCCATGTTGTGATTTATATGCTTCCCTCTGGCCTACAGTAAAGGATGAAGAGCAGACATGTATTTCTACTTGCAAGCTAAGAGCTCTTTTCCCACCTAAAGAACAAGATGGAAGTGGTTAACTCAATATATATGGAGTTCTGTGTCCTTTGTCCATGTAGACCTAACACAGAGGTTTGGAGTGAGCATATACATAATTCATTCAAATGAGCTGAGGGATGCGAAGAAAAATGTAGCTACTGAGAAATAAAAAAGGAAGTTGGACAATAAGGTACATAAGGGAAACAGCTTCAGTACTAAGAAAATAAGACTTAAGAATTAGTGATATAAATCCAGACACAACTCAGTGATCAAGAATTCTGCTCACCACTATCCATGAGCATGAAAGCTAAGCTAGATCGTAAGAACCTGAGTTCAAGCCCTGCCTGCTTTTTTGCTCTTTTTATGAAACCATTCATAAGCCAGCCAGTTGAACTGCTGTTTCTCATTCCTGAGATCTGAACAACCCATCTAGATGAAAAAAAAATGGCCTCTCCTATAACTGGGGTTACGGGATTCCTTTCTGCCTAATGAACAGCTTAAATATTTGCTGTGGTGGTTTGCAAGCCTTCCTTAAGATTTTGCCACGTCCTGATAAATGGAGGAAGAAAGAGATGGGAAAAAGAAAAGAGGACTTAGATGGTCTACCTGAAGAATCTAACTAAACCTGTATGGGAAGGAAGGCATGCTAGAGGAGAAAATAAAAAGGTTATATCGAGTAACTGGCATTTTTCTTGCTACTGTTTAGCAAAGGATACCTACCTTCCCATTTTCCTGACATAGACTCAAATGCTCTCTTAGGCCACAGAAGAATGCTTGAATGCTATTCTCAGAGTGAGTTCTGGCGGTCTTCCACACTACAGTCACATAGGAGTGAATTGGAAACCATCTCCGAAGGAACAAGAGAGCTTGTTGTAAGTTTGGGGTATGTAGAATGGGAGACAGTGACTGGACTAGAGGTAGAAACTTGTCCTAGAAACAAACAAAAATAATTGATGGCTAATCTTGGGTCCTCCCCACACCCCCGGGGTATGCAATGACAGGGATGTATCTCAGCCACATTGTGAAAGCTCCATTTCCTTTGCCTCTCTTTCTATACTCATTATCACTCTCAGTCCCAAAGCACAGGTGCTGGTTGGGCCATAGGTACAATATAGATAGAGAAGGGGAGGCCTGTCTGATCCATGCCCTAAGAAGGCTCAGAGCCCAGGAGATACACCCAGGACTGGGCCTTAGGAATCGTGAGTGGGAGGAGGAAGGCTGCATAATATAAAGGAAAGAAGCATACTTTTGGAGACCCAGAGTTTGTGAGACAGTCTCTCGTTTACAACCTCTAATACTTCTTGTGACACTAAAGATATGAATCTCTTGTCTCTGTCTCCTTCTGTGTATCTCTCTGTCCCTGTTTCCTGTGTCTTTGTCTCTTTCTGTTTCATTATCTCTTACTATCTCTCTCCGTCTCTGTTTTGCTGTGTCTCTGTTTCTCTCAAGATCAGGATTAGTTATTCCTTCTAATCCCTATGGGCATTTTATAGGAACAAAGGATTTTCATCGGTCATTGTTCAAATCTTCGTCTTGGCAGCATCCCTTTGTGACTCCACTATAACTTCGGTTCCCTCCATCTTCCTTCTTACTCCTAAAAATGTTCCTGAATTTAGTGAATGACTTAGACTGAGAGCAGATTCATAATAATTATAATTTGAAGCAGAGCTGCTAATTGCCAATTACAAGTCCTTAGTCTCATGCTTGTTGAAATATTAACTATTTCCATAAAAAGTCTGATAAATACTCATTGCTCCAGGCCCTACTTACAGGGCTGTGATTCTTTCCAGCTCTGATGGTTCAGTGCCACCCATAACGATTATAAAATATTCTGAATGTTGCAGCAATCCAAAAACACTGTATTCTAGGTAGACTTGCTCCTCTCAAATAGAACATAATTGAGGTTTTGTCCAAAGCAAAAAATTTGTCATGCTGAGAGAGGCAAAACAGCCTCATATTGACCTAGCTGGAGTCAAGAAGAAAACTATGCTAATAACACAAACAAAAAGATACTTGTTAAGATTCCACACCAACAAGTATAAATCATGTTGGGTTTATGCTGCCTCTTCTGCTAGACTACAAGGTGGAGAATTTACACCAAATCCAAAAGTTTCTCTTTTCCTTTATCTCAGATAACATTCCCTACTACAATTGGACGATGGAGTTAGGTGATTGTTCGTATTCTCTTGTTAGTGGAAAGACTGTCTAATACATTCAGACCAACTTGAGTTTAACTCTTAACACAACAAAATCCTACCTATTGACTCCTTCATGAACCTCACTGGACAAGGATTAGTTGAGAGGTGTTTTTCTGGAATCATTTGCAGTAGTTTGCAGGTCAGATGTATGGATGCCTACAAGGTACTTAAGGACATCAGTTATTGAGTTCCTGTTGCTTTGACTCACTTGCCCTGATGCACAGGAGAAGTCTGATTGTGTCCCTTAGCATAGAAGGCGCAGAGAAGATGAAGTTCACAGTTCAACCTTAACCTGCATCCCTACAGGTTTTCCACTACTGCTGCAGTTACTGCTTTGACAGTACTTTTGGTGAGAAGATACAAATCTTCCCTGGTCTTAAGCCACTAGAAGTGATTTTTCTTGACTAACCTCCATCCTATCTTACAATTTCTGCATTTGTTGTACAATGTAGAATAATGAAACATTCTGTACTGTACAAAATGACAAAAATCCTTTTATTCTCTTCAGTGGTAGTTGGATTCCAGAACTGATTGTGGAGGATTTGGGAATGACACTTCTAGGGCAAGATAGGTAAGTGGACAAAGGGCTAGAAATCTTAATAGAAGGGCAAGTAAGGTCTTAGGGGAGATTCAGACAGGAAGCAACAGAACTAGTGTGGGAACTTCCTTGGTTAGTGAGAAAGTGGGAGAGAGATATGTGCAGGCTTCAGAATTTTCTGCTCATAGAGGATAAAATAAACATAATAGAATAGTAAAAATATTATCAATGAATATGGTAGTCAGGTTTTAGAAGGAACTTTTGACTCAGAAATGGCTAAAAACCTAGAGCAGAAAATTCTGGGAAACAGTTCTACACAGATTTTAGATTAAGCTTTATAAATTTAGTCATACTTAGATAATTCAGAAGCTATACCAACAAAGGACTGGAAAAAGTATGCCTGCCTTTCTCTTCTTCACTTGAAGGAAGACATGCAGAGGATTTAATGTCTCGAAAAAAGTCAGAAACATCTGTCACATGATGCATCAGTTGATAAAATTCTTCTAGTCTATGATTTCAGGTACGATTCTTGCTCCTTTGCAGTTACAACATTCACTAACCCAATAACAACTTGAAACTTACTGTGTCATGCCCTAAGAGAGGGAGTTAGGGGTTAGATTACCAGGGATGATGCATAAAACCAGAGGGGGTATCATTTATTCTTTTGCTGAAAATGACACAGGCATGTGTGCTAGTTGGTAGAGGCTGAACAGAGGCAGATTCACTTAAGCAGGGCTTAGAAGGGCAGATAGGACTTGTGTGAGGAGACAAGGTGATAAATCTGGATAAAATAAGGCAAAGAAGTGGAAAATTCAGGGTTGGAGGCGTGGCTCCATTGGTAGAGTGCTATCCATGAACTGAAATGTTAGGTACTAAGTGTGAGTACTGATCTTGGACCTAAAAAAAAAAGTGGAAAATTCAAGAATAGGGGACCACAAGTAGCACATGACTTGGTTACATTTATTTGGGTTCCAGAAAAACTTTCTTTGTTAGGATTTCCCAGTTTTCTGAAGCTGTAAAAATTACATGTCTGGTAATCCTGAAACTCAGCATGAATTTATGAATGGGAATTTGTGAATGGGGAATAATTCCAGAGGCCCACTGGCTCTTTTCTATGCCCTCTAGGAAGACTACATGACTGCATTTTCCTTTATTGTTATGACTTCTAAAATAATTCAAACTCAGTCAGAATGTCTGAAAATAAATTCATAAGCAGGGGTGTTGTGGGTAAATCTAGATAACACTGGATCCCATTAATTCATTCTCTAGGTGATGGAATGCTGATAATTTTTAAAGATATGTATTGAATTGTTTGCCACTTCACAAGTAGCTTATGTATACAATGTACATTGATCTATGTCATCCCTTCAACATTTTCACACACACCCCCATTTGACCTATGCCTTCCCTTATTTTTCTTAGTTTTGTGAGGAAAGGGGTAAGTAGAGAGGGGTGGATGAGAATACAAAGATCAACATGCACCGTATCCATAAACCACTTTGTTGCATAGGCAACTCCTTTGTACAACTACTGGAAGGTAATAAAATTATTTAAAAAAAAACACAAAAATGATGGCTAACTAGAAAACCTAACTTGCCAGAGCCAACCAATTAGACAAAGGAGTTTGGAAGAACGTTTGTGTGTTCTTATTCCTACTCAGCATTCTTTTCACAGTGCCAGGTTCAGTTGTTTTATAGGAATATGTTTTTGGATGACTTCTGTAGAAGCACCTCTGGACCCTTCTTGGTATTGCAAGGGGTCCCAATGCCTTCAGAGAGGCTATCTCAATATTGGTCTTCCATTTTTTTTAAAACATGCTCAGTGTGCCTGTGTTATCTGATCATCGTTTGCCACTTCCTCCGAATTCTCACAAAGAATACTCAGTTTTTTATCTTCTAGTATTATACTTTCCTCCTGTCACCATGAGCCACACATTTGTAGTTTTCCTGATTTTGGTTTTTGGTGTTTTTTTTGTACAGTATTTCCACATAATACTCTATGAACAGCCTTTACAAGCCAAGTGTGGCAGATATTGGGGACAATTCATTTGTTTGATTTCCCCATGTCTTGTGTACCACATTGAGAGGAATGGCTACCTTGCATCTTTTTTTTTTTTCAAGTCTGAGACTGTTGCAGCATCTTCAAATGATCAAACTCTCATCTGAGTTACCTGAGGATAGTTGTCTTCTGCAGTGAACAGTGGAGTTTTTAAGCTACCTAAGTCTTCATTGCTTTAAACATCATAACCATTTATTTGCAAACCTTTCTCTGGCATCCACTAAGCAGTAACAATTCTGTTTCAACAAGCATTTTCCTTTAGGTATTTACATTGAGTAAAACTTCTGCCAGCAGAACATAAAGACAGACAATGCAGGATAGATAAATACAGATAATAGTCAAATAAATACAGCCTCTGTCTTCAATAATAGGGACTCTAAAGGGAGAGACAAGTCATAGAATAACATTTTGCTATTTCTCCAGTTTTCAACCTTCCCTCTGCCAATATTTTACTTGCTTAGTGAGTACATAGTTAAATAATATGAGTACAGTTTTGAAGCAACCTTTTATGTCTTTAAAGCATAAAAATCACACAGGGAACAATCAACTACAAATTATTAATTTTCTTTGAGAATAAGTGTATGCCATTCTGCTATAACATGTTAGGTTCTGTTTTAGAAATGCAGCTAAAAATAATTCCTGCAAGCACCTCTCTCCTCGCAGAGTTTATATGCCAATCAGAAGGTGAACAATAACAACCACTTTGGAAAGTAGTATGGAGGTTCCTCAAAAAACTCCACATAGACCTCCCCTATGACCCAGCAATCCCACTTTTGGGCATTTACCAAATGATCACAAACAAGACCATACTAAAGCTACCAGCACAACTATGTTTATTGCAGCATTATCTACCATAGCTAAGATATGGAACCAACCCAGAT